GGCTGTACCAGTATAGGGAAGGTAAGGGCTTAGGCTTTCAGGGATGTCACGTTTAACCAGACAGCTGAGGGTAGAAAGAACTGCGACAGTCATCACATAGAACATTATGAAGATTATCTTACGCATGATGTGGGAGTCTTTGGGAAAGATTGTCAGGAGTCCTGCAGTAAAAATGATCATTAATAGAATGTAAGAAATTAGGAACCAAAGTGGATAACAAAACATGACTTAGCCTGTTAACTGTGGCTGCGAGGCCTTCATGAAACGGAGATGGGTGGGCAACAAAAGATGAGATGACCACTCAGAATGATCAGATTTAGCCTGAGTGATGTGAAACCAGGGTGGGAGTCCAGCAACTTTGACCACTGTAGGGGTCGTCAAGTAGACCAAATAGGGACCACTCCACCTTGGTTGTAGTTTTGTGGATTTAGAACATTTGAGATAAATTAGATCTCTGATCTGGTTTGGCCTCCCATAGGAGGGCCACAACCCAGAGGGTTGTGGAAGGCAGAGATCAGCATGTTGTCACAACAAGTGTCGGAGGAAGGAGAGGACTGGGACATATCAGCAAGGGGAGGGAGATTTTTGGGGAGCAGGAAGATTGTGGAGTAAGAATGGCCTGCCGTACATATAAGTTCAAAAGGACTTAAGAAAGTAGGAGCCCGGGGAAGTGCCCTAAGCTTGGCTAAGGCTAAGAGCAAAAGTTGAGGCCAAGGTTGGTGTAGTTCTAAAGTGAGTTTTGTAAGGTGTGTCTTTATGAGGCCATTTGCCTTTTCTACTTTCCCTGAGGATTGTGGATGGTATGGGATGTGTAGGTGTCAGGTGATGTGTAAGCTTGAGGATACCTGTTGAGTGATCTGAAAAATAAAGGTGGGACCATTATGTGACTGAATACTCTGAGGTAGACCAAACTTTGGAATGATTTCTTGTAATATGACTTTGGTAACAACAATTATCCCTCATGAGAGTCTGGGTTCACATTAGTAAACTTAAGGTTTCCTGAAGCCGATTTAGGAACACAGCTGGGTTTCCATTAGCCTCCTAGACCTGTTTTGAAAGTTTGTTATACTTAGTATGTTTGTGAGCAATAGGCCCACAATTAGATACTCAATCATTTTATGTAATTTTGTTGAACTTTCTAGTTCCAGTTAGGATCTTGTTCTGGCACAGCGGTAGGCCCAGGGTCATTATCAGCGGAGTTTGCCTTAAGTCTGCGATCAGCTTCTTCTTGAGCTGCCTGCCACAGCTGATTTCACTCTTGTGAGCTGAGAGTGGTATTTAGAATCACATAAACATCCTTAAAATGTAAATCATAACAATTAGTTATAAATTGAAATTCCCTGATGTAATTCTGTGGGTCAACAGAGAAGCTACCTAATTTATGGGTAATCTGAGATAAGTCAGAAAGGGAGAAAGGCACATGTATATTAACAGGTCCCTTGGGGCCAGTTTGCTCCCGAAGTGGTAGCAGAGATGAGGAGAAGATTGCGGAGTAGAGGGCCATTGGGCAGCCATCCGTCCGGTAGGTGCATGTGAATAATTATCTGTAGATAGGCTACAAAGCAGCTGCTGGTTAACATGGGACGAGAAAACACAGGCAGGTGGCATCTCACTGTGTGCCTTGCAGCGATGCAATTGCTGCTCACAGCACAGTCAACCATCATGTGGTCCGCAACAGGGTGGCTGTTGCTGATCACAAGAGGAGCCACAAGGGGGCAGCCATTGACTGTGAGACCCATCCCAAGATGGCAGCGCCCTTTCACGTGGCAGAGGGCAGCAACGTGGTGACCATTCCCACACGAGCTGCAGCAGTTACGCTGCCTGCCCGAAGGTATAACGACCGAGCCCTAGTATGGTGGGAGGGAGGTGAGAATGCCGCAGGGGACAGAGAATTCTCAGGAGAGTAAGAGGTCTGAGACTGAAGAAGCGCTAACGGAGGGATTAGAACCACTGGGAGAGTTGTGGGCCCCCGGAGAGGGTGGGGAGGGGATCGCACAGCAGCAGGTAACAGCGAGGAGTGATTTTGAGGATAGGGAGGTGGCCGATAAAAAACCGGGGTACTTCCTCTAGCAGATCATGAGGGCAGGAGGGGAGAGTTTGCAGCGCAGCAGAGTTAGCTAAAAGTACCTGGGCAGGGGTACAAGATTTAATGAGAGATGGGTGCGTTCTCAGAGCAAGGAAAGCCTGTACGTAAGGGATCTCTGTTAACTTGTCGCCAGTTTGGCAGAAATTGTATAAATTTTTGAGAATACAGGGGTCAAACATCCCCCTTTAGGCCATGGGCTGCCAGTAAGTGGATAGGTCGGCCAACCCTCCTGGCAGTAAAAGATTAATTGTTTAGGTTTTATGGTGCTTTTAATTTTAAGAGTACATAGATTGGAAATCAAGCATTGCAGAGGCGTCTTTTGGGAGGTAGAAAAAGCGTTTCCCATGACTAATTCAGGCAGGAAACGAGCCGTGGTCCAGGGGTTGAGCCATCACTCGTTCTGTGGCACCGACGGTGGTTAGGGTTCCAGATATTGTATTTCTCAGTGGGCACTGAGAGATCTACAGTGGATTTCACGTGGGTTCAGTAACAGTTCTGCCCGTGAGAGCGTAAAGCTCCGAGGGGCGTGAGATTCTTCCAGTGTATTACTGTAATTAATCTTTTACTGCCAGGAGGGCAGTTGTTAGCCTGGGAGGTCACACAGAAGCAAATAACAAGATTTTCTCCTGTCCTATTGAAAGAAGTAAAAGGAAGACATGGGCAGAATATACAGGGAATGTTTAAAAATTATTACAGAAAAGCCACGGTCAGTAATTTCCCTCAACACCCCCCCCACACACACACATTTAGAACACACTCATCCCATTGTTCACACTGCTTTCTGGAACACTCTAGAGTCCTCTTTCTCGAGTGTCTTTAGCTGTGCTGTACTGACTGCCTCAGTGTCCTGAGTCCATTCAGAATGCTCCTCTTCCTCGGTCACTTTGAGTTTGGGGAAGTGCCAGCAGGGGCACGGTACCAGATCCGGTGTCTGAAGATGCACAGGGATGTTTGTGGAGCCTGTCGTTTTGGGGCCACACGTGGTAGCAACATGCACTGCATTTTTTTTATCACTCACAAAGATGCTCGGAAGGAGAATTTTCAGACCTGCTTGAGGAAGTGGCGCAGAGGATGGGATAAATGTGTTTGAAGCCAGGGGGAGGGTGTTTGGGGAGATTTGTGGCAGTTTATTTTTTGCTGTAATAATTAAATTTAAACATTCACCGTCTTTTTAGGTTACACATCATAATATACAGAATATCCCACTTATTTCAAGTCTGCAGTTTGATGGATTTTGGTGACTGGGTTGTTATATAGATATCACCCAGATTAAGATATGCAATTATTTTCCTCTAAATGCTGTCCTGTATTTTTGCAGCCCATCTCTGCCCTGTTTATAGCTCTAGACTTGAAATCTGAACTGTTTGGGCCACAAGATAGGAGCCAGCAGTGTCCCCTAGTAGTTCTGCTCTGCCCGGTGTGGTTAATTCCTTCCTAGTGGGTCTACTTTTGCCTTTTCTAGGATCTCAGGAGCCTAAATTCCTGCACTGAGGATGCGCTGTTGAAGCCTGTTTCTTCTCCAGCCAGGTCCGTTCCTCGGTGTCTCAAAGGCTTTGCCTCTTCCCACTGGTTGTCCAGTTTATCTTCATAAAGTGTTCATTCTGGGACCTTGCTGTCCTCTTACGGTCTCACTGTCCTGTGCATTGATATTTCAGAGAAAATTCAAACCCAGTATGAATTTGCACTCCTTTCCCTGTGTGTCTGGTGCGAGGCCTTTTGTCTTCGAACTTTAGCCCCTTGGGCCAGGGGGGCTAAGGCTAAGCCAGCAGTGTGGCTGACACACATAACCTTGGACTTGAGCAGATCTGGCCTGAACTCGGCCACTCCAGCCCCGTCACCCGGTGCAGGTTATTGGGCCGCTCCAGGTCTTCATGTCAGTCTTGGCTCCACGTGAGCAGCAAATGCCCAGTGTTGCGAGGTGTGGCCATGGCTGTGCCAGCGACTGTTGACAGATGGGTGATTGTGAGCCTGAGTCCTGCTGTCCAAGTGATCCAGGGGAAAGAAACTCACGATCTGCTATCTGTGCAGTACGAGCTCGTGTTCTCTCAAATCGAAGGATGAATTTTAGGAACAACACAGGTTAAGAGCAGAATGTATTTAATGAAAGAACAAAAACTTCTATCTGAGAGACAGAAGGGCTCCTGGGTGGGTTGCCAAAGACTGTCTTTTTTAGGGACTTTTATAGAGTAAAATCATGAGATTAGATGGGTCAAAGGTGGGGAAAATGGGAATTTATAAGGTGGGACAGAACTATGGTCAACCAGTAAGATGAATTGCTCCAGTAAAACTAATTAAATTAGGAGCACATGGGGGAGCGTGTCAGCTAGTAAGCGGCACACTTAACAGCAGTGACTCTTGCTGTAGGGGGTGGGCTACTGACTCCTGGCTCCCTCAGGGTGATGGAGAACTATCTGGACTGTGGATCCTTAGGATGTGGGTGTATTTGCTCTGCCTTTTGTCTTTTGAGGTCTGGTGCACAGCAGGAGATGATTGTCTCTTCCCAGGCTGCAAGGTATCTGAACTTCTGCTCTGGCTCCTTTGAGGGCCCAGCCCTGTCTGATTGCTTGTAATATTTCTGACTAACTCAGCTGCCTGTAACACAAGAACTAGAAACCGCAGTGATTGTTGGGCCCGGTTTGAGAACCAGAGGAGGCTGCCAGTTTTCTCCAGCTTGATGGCTCTGTTTTGTGTTCTGTATACCTCAAAGCTTTGAGTGTGGGTGCTGAGACACACGTTACTGAAACATGGCTAATTGAGCTAGAATTCCTTTCAACATAGAATAAACTGGTACAAGTGTGACCGAGGGTGACATTTGTACAGGGGAAATGAGCTACAGAACCAAAGATTTAAGACAGAATCGCGGGGGTTTATTCTTGATCTCGTTTTGAATTTTACCTCCTTCCTTTTTCTTCAGGGCCCTGATTTTCCCCTTCCTGATCCGAGGAGGGAAGCCAACACCGCTGTTCACCTGTGTGTCAGCCTTCCTGTTCTGTGTCTACAACGGCTACTTGCAGAGCAGGTACCTGAGCCGGTACGCCGTGTACACTGAGGACTGGGTGACCCAGCCCCGCTTTCTAGCTGGTGAGTGTCCGGCACTCACTGCCATGGCCTGGGAATTGTAGCCAGAGTGCCCAGGCCCTTCAGGAGAACCAGGGGGCTGGGTGCGAGCACCTCAGAGAACAGAGCAGCCAGGGGAAGACCAAGGCTGCCCCATATAGCATACAGGCCAGAGGGGTGCATTCAGGGGACACAAGTGCTGCTCTTGCTGGGAGCCTGGGCTTTGGGGGAGCCCCAGCCAAGCAAGCTGTGGCTCGAATGGAGGAGACACTGGTTCCTGTTTGCACTGTAATGTAAGTTGGTCCTCCAGCCTCTCTCAGCATCTTCTGTAAAAGAGACACAATACCTTCCTACAGTGCAGTCAGCCTTTCATGATTATGCCATCTTAACTGGGAAGGTTTTTAGCTTTTTAAAAAGTTCATTACAATTAGAATACATTAACATGTGCTTTCAGGTTACAGCATTACAGCATTATAAGTTTTGAACAGAAGTGAAAATACCCATTTGCTATCAAAATAATATCAAGATTATTAAAAATGCTTATAGTTGTTTTTCCATTGCTGGGGGAAAAAAACCCAAAACACCTGACATACAAACCTTAAAGGAGAAAAGGCTTAATATGTCTTGTGGTTTCAGAGGGTTTGCTCCATGGACTGCTGGCCCCAAGGCAGGAGCATCATGGCAGATGGCGTGGCAGTAGAGAGCTGCTCAGCAGAAGATGGGACAAGCCAGAGAGAGAGAAAGGGGTAGGGAAAAGAATACACCCTGCCATGCGTAAAAAAGATGTGGCATTTTTTTTCTTTTTAATTTTATTTAAGGAGAAAAAGAAAAAAAGCAGAAAAAGGGTACAAGTTATATAGAATTTCAGAAAAAATAAACAGTAGGAAATCACTAGTTAATGGATTACATATTGTCCTCTTAGAAATATTTGTTCAAGTTACAAAATTAAAGCTTATATAGTGAACATTCAAACAGTGAGACCAAACAGTTTTGTTCAATGACCCAACAAAACTCAGTAATATCATTGTCTATTTTATACACTTAAATATACATGCAGTTATATCATTTAGAGCACTTTCTTTTCCTCTCTTTTGTACAATGACTATTATACATTTTGGGTTTTATTGCTCCCACAGTTCTTATTACTTTTTTGGGAAGAGAGTAAAACCAAATGTGACATAACAGAACAGAGTCGGTCAAATCAAAAGGGTGGACATAATAGATAATGCAAAAACATAATACAAGGTGATCAATGGTTACCATAATGCCTCCCGCTATCTCTAATAGAGTTGCCTATATCATCAGTTATAGTAAAATTGAACAAAACAGTAAAGAGCAAAACCAACAAAACCAAAACATTGGAGACATTACAGGTCTTCAAAAGTTGATAATAGTCAACCAGAATGGGCATCATAATGAATCCCACTATCTTCACAGCTGTTGCCTAAACTTTCGAACCTGGTACTATCAAGCAAAACAGAATAGAGGAACATCAGTCAAAACAAGATGGTGAGAGCAATACAGGGCTTCAAATCAAGTTAATAGTAAATCAAAGTGGGTTACTATAATATATCCTACTATTTTTTTATTTATTTTTCCCTTAATTAAAAGGATAAAAATAAAAAAGTAAATAATAAAACGGAGATTGAGATAAAAGAGGGCATAACAACAAAGCAGCGCAGATCAAAACATAACCATTTAAGCAAAATAGTGTTTATATGATGGAGTGTGCAGCTTGAGTCCAAACTGATAAGGGAAATGAATCAGACACGCATGTATTAACATCATGTTGTCTCCCTGTTGTGAGGTGCCAAAAGAAATAATGTGTGGGTGTCTGTGATAGTGAAGGTAGCTGTACTGCTGATTTCTCTCAGCTCATTGAAGAGAAATGTTCGTGCTAGTACTGTTCAGACAATTAAAGGCAGATAGCTTGTGCTCTGAGTAACTGATTTGAAGATAAGGATACTCCAATGTATTAACCATTGTTACCCTTCAATTACCGTGTTTTGAAATTTTGTTTCATTTTTTTTTTCTCTTTAAAATTAAAAGAAAAACACACCCTCCCAGGTTTCGCCCTCAGTGGTCTACTTCCCCTAGTCAGTGCCCATCTCACTGGGGGTCAGTGACTCTTTGGGGGACACTTCTTGTCTAACTAACCTGTAACAATCTCAGGGCTGTTTCCAAGAAGGAGGATTCTTTTGTGTGTTTGTTTAGCATGCTTTGAAACTCTTAGAAATGACAGCACATGCACGAGTCTTGACCGCAGTGGCAGTGCATCAGGAGTCCTGACTTGGCCCATTAAATCCGCAGCCTGCCTGGTGGCACTTAACCCTTCATGCCCTGTGTGATATTTTGCCTTCTCTTGATGTAAAGGAATTTGTAACCACCGAATAACTAACTCAAGTGTAGTTCTTTCTTGCTAGCAAAGCACTTTCCAATGCTCAGTCATATTTTTTGAGAGAATGAGAGTTTTATTTTTTGCCTTGTGGATTTAAACAGAACGATCTGACAGCAGCTTTTCACTTCCTCAAGGTGATGGATACCTATGTAGTATATCAATCGCCGCTCTTTATCCTTAGGGTGTGAGAGTATTTGTTTTATCTTTTGTCTTAAGGCCTGGTCCACAGCAGAGGTGTCTGTCTGCCCCGCAGCTGCAAGGTGTCTGGGCTCCTTTGAGGCCCAGCTCTGTCTCACTGCCTATAGTGTTTCTGTCTACCTTAGCTGCCTGTACCAATAGGGTTTTTTCAGAGGTGGCCGAGTCTAGAGTGTGTGATGCTGTGATGCAGGTGTATGGGTGGGTTAGTAAGTCATCGCACTGAGTGCTTTGGCACAGTCAGCTGGGATTAGGGGTGTGAGCGCTACACCCCCTAGGGTGGGCAGCCTGCACACAGTGTAAGAGACAGACCCCGGCTTGTCCCCTCCCACTACCATAAACCGTCACCTGCTGCCATGTGCCCCGCTGCCTTGGAGTCAGCTGATCATGGGCTGAAACCTCTACAAACTGTGAGCTAAATGAACCTTTCTCCCTTTAAGTTTGGGTATCGGGTATTTTATGTCATCAATGAGAGAAAAGTAGCACAGAAGGGAAAAGTGAGAAAAAAGGATAAAATAGAAACAAAGCTTTTGTAAATAAGGGGAAAATGGGTTTAAGAGAGGAAAGAAAGGGGAAAAGTATGAATCAAAATATATCGTGCAGGTACAAATTCCATGTGCTGAATGTGATCATTACACATATCTAAATTGTACCAATAAACTTAACTAGTGATATAAAAAAAAATTTTAAAAATCAGTTCCTGCTCTCCAGTTCTGCCATTTAGCCTTGTCTTGTTGGAATTCAGTGGTGTTATACTGAGAAGTCTCCTGTCAGTGATGCAAAGCCTCAAGCAGTTAAAACCCTGCAATGTGGAGGGAGACATGAGTGACCCACAGGTTAGGAGGGATGACCTGATGGAGTCTCAGCTGCAGGGGAGCCAGGGACAGGACACCGAGTGGGTCAAAGGAGGTTGTGAGGAAAGGAGACGAGGTGCAGATCTGGACACCCAGGAATGCGGCCGCCCCTCCGGAGCCCAGGCCCCATTGGTAACCATCAGCAGGGCTGGCTTCTTCCCCTGTCCTCAGCTGGAGGCTGCTGCCTCTATAGGGAACGTGGTCAGGTACGCTTGGGGGCCGGCTTTGCCATGGAGCATGCCTGTGCCTGAGGCTTCGGGGTGTCTCTGGTCCTAGATGTAGACTGGGACCAGCAGCCCTGGGGATGGTCACTGCTTGTCTAGTTCATGACCAGCATCAGGACAGCAAAGCCCGTTAGATGGTGTCCCACTGCTGACAGCGCCCAGGGTCTCCCAGCAGGTGCAGCCAGTCATGGCACGAATGAGGGCAGTCAGACAGGTTCGGGGGACCTGTTCAGTCCACGTGGGTTCTGGAGCCTGGTGGTTCATTACCGTATTGATCTTGTCCTTTTCTGTTCTTAGGTTGTGCCTTGTGGTTAACGGGCATGGTGGTAAACATCCACTCGGATCATATCTTGAGGAATCTTCGGAAACCAGAGGAGACGGGGTACAAAATACCGAGGGGTGCGTCCCAAGCGGGGAGGCTTCCCCTCAAAGTTGTGCTGCGTGTGCCCAGCGGCCGTCCTAGCCTTGAGGCCTCTAATAACTCAATTCTGGTGGTCACTAGCCATAGGTTTGCAGTGAATCACCTCCACAGATTGTTTTCTTTTCAGAAAAACAAGAGAACTGATTCTGGCTAAGGACAGGATATGAAGTGAAAAGGAAGCTCAGCCTTTGGAGACAGGGCGAGGAGGACCCCACAGCTCCCTGGATTCTGATACCTGTGCCACCCTCAGGATGGTGGAATCGACTCCTAGAGACACCTTAAAATGTTGGGTGGATTTTAAAAAGCCTGTAACCCTAAATCTAAATGTGTGCCAGGATCGGAAAACACTGAAAATGTGCCACGCATGGCCACCCCGTGTAACCGGAAGTCCCAACCAGGGTGGTCTGAAAATCCATGATGCTTCAGTTAAGTTTGGTTAATGCTAGGTTGTCCCCAGCAGGAGTGGGATTGCAATCATGTGCCCAGGCAGCCAGAGCCCCAGTCTGGAGAGGCACCTGCCTTCCACCCGGGGCCTCATGGACCCCACAGACCTCATTTCCAGAGTAGCTGCAGCACTCAGGAGAAAACTGGCACCATGAGGAAAAATCTAGATTACCTGATGGATTTCAGATCTTTCAACAGCAAAAGCAAACAATCACATTAAACTGTGACCCAGAGAGTGCAGTCCTGGAAGACCAACCTCCGGAAGTACCAGGGTGTGGATGTGGGGAGGCGTGACCTCTATGGGGTCCCCAGCTGGGCTGCTAGTATTCTGCCTGCCTGGCATCTGGAAGAGATGCTTCTCCCCCCAGGTGTTGGCCGGCTGCAGCCTATGTGGCTTCCCAAGGAACTGTCCTTTGGGGAGGACCCAGTGCCCCTCATCTCTGCCTAGAGGGCACCTGATTGGATCCCTGAGCAATGCAGCTCTCCAGGAGCTGCTACCATGAGACAGGGCGAGGCCGGAGCACCAGATGGCAGAAGAAGAAAATGCTAGAAAAGCCCAAAGCCCCACTAGGAACAGATTTGAGCAACAGTCCAACAAAGCGGAAAAGCATCTCCTGAGAAGCAGGGTCTCTGGGCAGCCCAGAGCTGTCCTGTGTGCGACCATCCCGACCACACAGCAGCAGAGGTGCCCCAGGATGTCTCTGACCTTTTCCCTCTGCCTCCTACTGCTGGCTGCTGCTTGGCGTTCTAACCCAACTTGTTTCAAACCAGAGGAACGAGAAAGGTGTTTTCACAACCCCATGGTAGCCACTACAGAGGGAGATGCAGCAGCAGAACCTGTCTGAACAGAAATGCATTTCACAAAGTGGGAAAAAGGTGAAATTCAAGTTCCCCACGTGACTTCCTGTGTGAATGGAGCCGCGGCTGCAGGGATGCCTGTGAGTGGGGTGCCAGCACCTCCCCACTCGGCTCGATGCGGTCAGCTCCGTACACCTGCAGCCTCCTTCCCTTGCCCCCAGCCGAGGGGGACATCCCCAGGAGCTCTGGCACAGACCAGGTGTTCACAGAGACGGGCAGTGCATACAGCAGAAGACGTGGCCAGGTGATGGAGGAAGACAAGCTGGGAATCCAAAAGATGGAGAACTGCTGCTACAATCCCTTATTCCTGACCCTGAGATCACATGGTGCACAGAGAACAACAGCAAAAGCCAAACGCCACAGCAAGGACGTAAAAAACGCGAGATGGAGCCCTGGGAATTTTCCAGTGAGCGCTGCCGAGGACAGAGAGGGCAGACATCGTGTGCATGTGGGAGTCCTGAAGAAATCCAGGGCAGGTTTCCAAGAGTAGTGTAAGGAAGCTTGTATGAAGCCAGCCAAGACTCAAGTCCAGCTTGGGAAAGAATACACCTTTCCCAGGGATGGTGAACCTGTGGCACACGTGCCACAACAGGCTGTTTGTTATCATTGAAGGCTCTGAAAGGTTCGCCATCACTCTCCCTTTAGTTGTACTGAGGACAATTGACTCTAGTCACATGAGCCCTTGGAGCTGAGGGTGGCTGGAGGGAGGGTGTCAGATTTTGGAGATGCAGGAGAGTGGAAGCCCCCACCTTGTCCTGATCCTGTTGTCCCCCATGCAGATGCAGCCAGTATCTTTGAAGACCCCAGAGCTTAGCAATGTGGACCAGTGTTCTAGAGGACTCCACCGTGGTGGGCTTTGGGGCTGACCATCTACCTTCGAGCTCAGAGTGGGTCTTTTCCGTGGGGCATGGCCATGTTTTCTAACATGGTCATTTCTGTGAAGCCCGGCTGTGTGCTGTTTCCAGGAGCCTGGCCAGAGCTCTGAACAGTCATTGGTGAAAATCAAAAGGGCCCAGTTACAAAATCCATAGAGAGGAAGTTAGGGGTGGGGGGAGGACAAGTTCTGTGGACTGTGTGTGACATCACATTTGTGGGTAAGTCACATAGCGTCTCGGCCACTTGTGCGCTTGGGACATCTCTAGCAGGTCGGCATCTGCCAGTTTTCTTAGGGGATTACTCACCAATCCCTCTCCCCACCAGATGTTTCCCTCCACAGGAACGCCTGGGGACAAGGTCCCTGATTTCACCCAAGAGGTGTTCTGTTCCACTCTCCTCTAGCCCTGGCCTTCGGGTGACATCGCCCTTTCCTTGAAGGTGCAGAGTTCCCCTCCTGGGACCTGGCTGCCCGAATGCAGATAAGACGTAGACAATAAAATAAAATCCACACAGACAGTAATGACAGAGTAATGTGGGAAACTGGGGTGGCTTACAGAAATAGTTAATAAGGGTGACTGTGGTAAAGCCACCGCAGGAGGAAACACAGCCTCAGATACCTGGCGTTCACCCCCGTCGATGCCTCCAATGACACATGTGCTGCGTGTGTTTGTGGGAATGGTGGTGCCTCAGTGATGTGCAGCAGTGTCCTACAGCATCACTTAAGACAGACTCCGCTAGGCCTGGCTGCATGGTAACCGCCCTGTGTTGCTCTCTTTCCGTCCAGGAGGCTTGTTTGACTATGTCACTGCAGCTAATTATCTTGGGGAGATCGTGGAGTGGTGTGGCTTCGCACTGGCCAGCTGGTCCCTCCAAGGTGGAGCCTTTGCTCTGTTCACATTTACTGTTTTATACCCTAGGGCAGAGCAACATCACCGGTAAGTTTTAAAACACACTTAACTCTCTTCATTGGTTCTGTGACCATGGAATGAAAAAAATGTTCAGATTAGATGTCCCAGAATGCTGAGATTCATTTGAATTGCCCAGTCCTAGTGTCAGCTTTGCCATAGCCAAGTAAGACTATCTTGGTTACTTTTCAGTCATTGTTGTGACAAAATACCTGACCCTCCAAATTAAGGAAGGAAAGACTTATTTAGCTTACAGTTTCTAGAGGTTTCAGTCTATGCTCCGCTGTCTTCAAGGCAGAGTGGCCTGGCTAAGGGGCAGCTGTTTGTGGTGGCCAGAAGCAACCAGCAAAAAAGGAAAAAGGAAAAGCCCCCCCTCTTCCCTCCTTTATATTGTATGCCAGCTCCTAACTTCTGGGTGGGTGCAGTGCTCAATACTACCAATCCCAGCACGGGACAATGAGCCAATCACAAATGCTAGATTCATCTGCCTCAATGGCTGCATAAGGTTTGTGGGGGACACTCAGACACAAACCATAACAAAAACCAAAACCAAGCAGTACCCCAAGGACCATGTCTGCAGTGGGACTGGTCTTGGGGAGTCTTCAGTGCCCCCAGCCACTTGTGAGCTTCTGAATGTTTGCTCCTGGAGTTCATGGTCAGGTTTGATGCCAAGCAGAGGATTCGGAGACTTCAAATAGAAGCCCTAGTTCAAATCAAGAATGCATACCAAGCATGGCAACATACATCTGTAATGCCAGAAGAGGGTAAAGTAGGAGAAGCATGATTCAAACCCAGCCAGGACCACTTAGAATTGGGTAAGATCTTATCTCAAAAAAAAAAAAAAAAAAAAAAAAAAAAGGCTGTGATCAAGAGAAAGGCCCTGGGTTCAATCCCTGTTACTGCAGAAAGGGAAACCTGAGAATACAGGAGGAGCTCGCAAGATCGTGAAAGCCACGGTGGGCAGGGAAGGGGTGAATCCCAGAGCTGGAGAGGGCCCTGCTCCATTGCTCCCTGCATGCCATCAGGATCCCCTGTGGGGCTGATGCTCTGGGCATGCAGCGAGATGTAACCTCCCCCCACCCGTGGAGTTTGTGGTGTTTAGGGGAAAGGACAGACGGAAAGCTACCAGGTTACTGGATTGATGGCTCGGTGGAGTGGGAAAGCACAGACCTCTTAGGTACCTAGGTGTCCTCCTAGCTTCTTTGTGCACTGAGCAGTGCACGGGTCGTTTCTCGGAGATGGAGCAGGGGGAGGCCGACTGCTGGGTCCCCAAAGTGGACACCTAAAATGCACATGCAGGTGAGATGGGGCGACAGGCATCCTGCATCTTCTCCAGGTGCCCCTGGATGCCTCTGGGCATGTTGTCCCCTTGCAGACAGGGACCATGAGATCCCAGAGCTGCTGAGAGAGACAGTTTTTTGAGGGTCCAGGACAGCAGTCACAGGCTGGAGAGTGGCTGGGGCTGTGGGCCATCGGGAGCCGCTGCCTGGGAAGGGCAGAGTTGTATCCCACAAGAAGAGGTCACTGTTCTCCACTCCTGGGCCTGTGGGTGTGTCTGATGGGAATGGGACTGCTGCAGGCGTGACAGGGAGGACAGCCCGATCCCACATGATGGGCAGCCTCAACACAAGGGGAGAGCTCAATTTGGGTACACTCTGCAGAGGGAAATGCCACACAGGGTGCAGACAACCAGGAAGGACACTGTCCCCAGGGCTGCATTCAGGGGTCCTCTGTGGATGCCCCTGCCGCTGTTTCTGGGGGAGATTTGGTTGCTGTTCTTTTTTTTTTTTTTTTTTTTTTTTTTTATTTAAGGAGAAAAGAAAAAAAAGTGAAAGGGTACAAGTTATACAGATTTACAGAAGAAAAAAATGAACAGTAGGAAATCACTAGTTAATGGATTACATATTGCCATCTTAAAAATAATTGTTCAAGTCACAAAATTAAAGCTTGTAGAGTGGACATTCCAACAATGATACTGCAAACAGTTCTGTTCAATGATCCAATAAAACTCTGTGATATCATTTTCTATCTTACACACTTAAATATACACGCAGTTATATAGTTTAGAGCACTTTCTTTTCCTCTCTTTTGTACAATGACTATTACACATTTTGGGTTTCATTGCTCCCACGGTTCTTATTGCTTTTTTGGAAGAGAGTAAAACCAAATGAGACATAACAGGATAGAATCGGTCAAGTCAAAACGGTGGACATAATAGATAATATAAAAACATAATACAAGGTGATCATCAATGGTTACCATAATGCCTCCCGCTATCTCTAATAGAATTGCCTATATCGTTAGTTATAATACAATTGAACAAAACAGTAAAGAATAAAACCGACAAAAACCAAAAACATTGGAGACATTGTACGTCTTCAAAAGTAGATAAAAGTCAATGAGAATGGGCGTTATAATGAATCTCATTATCTTCTCAGCTGATGCCTAAACTTTCGAACCTGATACTATCCATCAAAACAGAATAGGGGAACATCAGTCAAAAACAAGATGGTGAGAGTAATACAGGGCTTCAAATCGAGATAATAGAAAGTCAAAGTGGGTTACTATATTATATCCTGCTATTTTTTTTCCTTTAATTAAACGGATAAAAATAAAAAATAAATAATGGAGTGGAGATTGAGAAAAAAGAGGGCATAACAGCAAAACAGCGCAGATCAAAACACAACCATTTAAGCAGAATAGTGTTTCACCACCAGATAATTCCGACCTAAAAGTAGTTACCATATTGACTCTTTCCTTGAAGTCCTTGAGTACAACTTCATATACTGTAGCATTAAGTATATCAAAACAATGTAAAACCATTTAAGAGAATGACAGCATTACAGAGTATTTAGAATCGACTAACAGAAAATGAACAATGGTTTCTGTATAATCTCCTTGTCTTTAAAAGGTTTTTGCTTATACTATTGTACATAATAAAATCCAATAAGATACAACCTGTTTAGACCATTGGAGACAGAAGAACAAAAGCTAGATGAGACTTCAAAACAAGATGATACTAAATCAGTATTACCTATTAAGATGTCATTTTCTCTAAAATAGATGTTCCTATCATCCAATCTTCTCTGTCTCATTTCTGTTGAGCTCTTTTTCTGTCAGTAGCTGTCAGTTTGTCTTCTTCATTTTGTTCTCTGCTCCATTCGTTGTGGCCTCCCCGCCACCATTTCTGGGTTCTTTGTATTTTTCTTTTTTTAGAATATCTTGCAAATATGCAATACTTTCTGTAGGGTTGAATTGGTGGTTGCAAATTCCCCCAGTTCCTCTTTATCCTGAAAGCACCTTGTTTTTCCATCAATTTCCAGGGACAGTTATGCAGGTTATCTCAATCTTGGCTGGAGATTATTGTCTTTCAAAGCTTGAATTATTTCCCCCCATGCTCTTCGTGATTTGATGGTTTGTGCAGAGAAATCTGCTGTAATTCTGATGGGTGTTCCCTTGTAAGTGGTCTGTTTCTTGTCTCTTACAGCTTTTAATATTCTGTTCTTGTATTGAATTTCTGGAATTTTTATTATCATATGCCTGGGTGTTTCTCTGTTAGGGTTGTAGGTAGCTGGGGTCCTGTATGCCTCGTACATCTGAGTATCTTTACCTTTTGCTAAATTAGGAAAATTCTCCTGGATTATTTCTGTGAGTAGCTTTTGTAGTTCACTTGTTTGTGTCCCTACTTCTTCTTTTATGTTCTTAATCCTTAAGTTATGGCTCCTCTTATCATCTTCTTGTCTTTGTATTATTGCTGTTTGTTTCTTTGTTATTTTTAAGAAGTTTTTCGTTTCATTCTCCCATATTACAAGTCTGCCCTCCAGCTCAGATAGTCTGTCCTTAGTTTCTTTCAAGCTGTTATGCCAGTCTTGGATAGACTTCTTAATTTCTTGATAGTCCCTTTGAACCTGCTTCACGTACTCTATGCTTTCTCTGTTTTCTCCATCAAACAATTCTCCCCTCTTTTTCTGTTCTTCCATTCCACCATCTGTTTTTTCCTGGGTGGTGCTTAGCATTTCTCTAACTATTCTGCATACTTCTAGCTTCAGGTCGTTGATAACTTCATTCCTGAATTGGTCTATGAGGCTCTCTATATGGCACTTAATGTCTATTGGTGCGGTGTCCGCTATTGCCTGTTTCTCAGAATTGGGGGCCGAGGAGCCTTTCTTGTTGCTTCCCTTCCCCATTTTCTCCGTTCCTTATAAAATGCAAGCTTACATAGGAGGCCCAGCTTCCATGCCTGTCAGCCACAGCCTGATCAAATTGCGCTGGCTAGGTGTTCCCGCCCACCGCTGCGCACCAGGGAGTTATGGACTAGGCAGCCTACGCGGGAGTCACCCCTCCGCGCCACCGTCAGGCTCTGGGATCTGGGTTAGGCCAGCCTACCAAGTCCGCCCGCAGCGTCACGCAGGCCAGGCACTTTTCACCAATCCCGTCCAAGAGGGGAATGTGTGGCTGGAGTCGCCACTGCGCCCTGCTCTTACAGGACTGCCCGAGCCCAGAAAGTCCTCCGCTGGAGTCAAACTGTGGTGGAGTGTCAGTTTCTCTCACTCACCTCGCCACCAGTCAGTGTACGCCTCCTTGTCCGTCCTGTTTTCGACTCCATTCGCAGACTCCCGTTCCCAGAGCTTCTGCGCGTCTCTCCTTGCTGAGCCGCTGTGGAGGCAGCCAGCCACCGGGCGGCAGGAAACCCAAATCGCAGTTTCCAATGGCGCGGGGTCCAGCCTCCATACCGAGACTTTTCTGTTCCTATTTTAGCACCAGGACTGCATTCCAAGTTGGTTTCTCTCAGCCCAGTTTGTTCCTGAGTCAGCAGAGCATATCTCTACCGGCTCATGTCTCCTTAGTCCGCATCATTCCTGATTTCTGAGCCGAGCCTTTCAGAGAGCCTCCAGTAGTTGCTGTTAACTATCCGCCATGTTCTCCCGGAAGTCCTTGGGTTGCTGTTCTTAAAAGCCACCTATCTATGGTGCTTTGACCCAGCAGAGGCACCAAAGCAGCCAGGCCTTCTGCCGTTGCACCCTGACAGCCTTAGAGTAAGCAGCGTGTCCAATTTCCAAAGGCTTCAGGTCTCTCCTCTGCCAGGTGACTTGGTTGAAACAGTACCTTAGTAGTTCAATATCAAACCCTAATAATGTAGTTCAATACTAGTGCTTGCTGTGTGTAAGGGTCTTAGGAAATGAACAGAACAAAGCAGGGTCACGTCCCAGCACCTGTGGGACAGAGCTTGCTAACCCTGACCAAGGTGGAGTCCATGTCCTGGTCTCCACACTCCTCTGAGCCCCGTCACCAGCTGACACGGCCAGGGCCTGGGGTCCGAGCTCCTCCACGCGGCTGTCAGTACCTTCAGAGAAGGTGCTTACAAAAAAGCCAGTCATGGCCTGCTTTTAATATCAGAAAGCAGTGTAACAGCACCGATACCTTGAAAGGTGGGTGGAGGAAGGTCCAAGAGCCTGGGCTGTCAGAACGTTTTCCTAAAGGAAAGTGGAGAAGGGGAAAATCCCTTTCGACATTTGAATGTGAAATATACACAAATGGAAAAGACAGTTCTCCTACTCCCAATGAAAGCCTGTATTGCCTGCGGCCCACATCTGTTTCTCTGAACCTTAGGGTCTCAAGGTTCATTTTCCTACAAATGAACCCAATTTATCTTTGTTTATAGTAGGGTGGTGCCCCATTGAATAAATACCACAGAAAACCAACTAGTGTAGACTATCAGTAAATTGATTCCAAAAGAAAAAACTCGGTAGAGCCATTTCCTTTCACTGTTTATCGTAATGCTCTGAAAACGTTAATGCTGCATGTCACGGAAGTTGTGCAGCAGGAGCTATTTGAGTTCATAATCCACCGCGTCGTTAGTTAAGCTCGGACACATGAGATGGGCAGGCACAGGTTGCTGCTGAGGGCAGGAGTGACAGGGACTCTAGGTTGGAGAGGGGTCTCCTTCCCTGGCCCGGACCCAGGCTGCACAAGCTTTACGGCACTGTGTGCAGTGGTGGACCAGGGCCGGGCCGCCTGCTGTCCAGGCCTGAAGCTCAGACTCGGGGTCACCGTGGAGGAGCTCAGCGGAAATGAAGACAGAAGTGCCGTCGCTGTGTTCAATGTCATTCAGAAAGAATCTAGTGCATCTTCAAGTCGCTGTGATTGATGGCGTCATGACAGGAGAGCAGAGACCGATGAGATGAGAATCTCTCTCTGCTTCCTTACACCCATGGCACCCCTATCCTGTGTTGCTCCTCAGACTGCAAGCCAGAAGCGTGATTTCTGAACCCCAGAAAGCCTGTGCTCAGTCCTCATGCTGTCAAAGACTCACGTTAAGCTAGGCTGTGGGGAGGGCCAGGAACAGTAACTGCTTCCCAGAGCCAGGGCGTCTGGTGGAACACAGTGGGCAGGGGAGGGGAAGGAGTCGGAGGAAGGCAAAGCCTCGCAGCCAGCCCTGTCACACCTTAGGCAGCTGCAGCTCTGGGCAGAGACGGGAACAGACACCAGGCCAAGTGCCCTTTAACAGACTATAATACGTGTCTTAAAACACCGCTTCTTGACGTGGGTTCAGGACCATTTAGCATTTTACTCCCATGTGATCACCTCTGTGCAGTGAGTTTTTACTTATTTTTATTCGTATGCGTGCGCAGCGTGTAACGGCGCATTCATCCCAACGTGCCGGCCTGCCCACATAACGCGTCTGACTCCGTACTCCCCCTGCCCAGCTCTTGGGTCTCCTTCCCACTTAGAAGAGACCTCCCTTCTTTTTTCCCATTCTCTTTCATTTTGCTCATAGGAGAGGAGCCGTGCAGCATGTAAGCCTGAGCAGGATTTAGCTCACTGAACACAGTCCTGGACACATCATGTTTATCCTTCTGTGTGGCAGGGTAGATCTCATCAAGGGGAAATTCCGTGTTTTTTTCATCCATCCCCTATCGGTGAACATGCAGACTCATGAACAGTAGCTATCATGAATTGTGCTGTACACGTGAACATGCGTGTCACTGCAGTGAATGTCTTTACTCTTGAGGAGATTTCTGGAAGGGGAGTGGTGCGGTGTGTGAAATGAGCTCTCTGTCTGGCACACATTCCTCTCTCGGTAGGACCATCCTGACAGTGCTGGTGCTCTTTCTGACCTGAGGCTGAGCCTCCGGCCCCAGCGCTGCCACAGCCCAGAGCTCCACATCTTCCATGCACAGCTGCTAGGAGAGGTGCTGGCTCCTGTCCCTGGGGCTGTCGGGAACTCACTGTGGGCAGGTTGTTGCAACCCTGCACATACCGGCCACCCACTTCTGCCTGGAGCCACACTGAAATAAGTACTCTTACCTTATGAGCCATCACTGGTCAGTGCTGGCAAAGTGAGGTGACACCTGATCCTGAAGCCACGACTGGCTTGGGAAGCTGGTCTTCTCCCGTGCCGCGTGGGACCTGCAGGCCAGCAGCAGTGAGCACAGCAGGCTGGTGCAAGTGAATCTGGCATTGGTGCACCACAGTGTGAGCCTCATCCAGAACTGTCCGGGAGGTGCCAGTTCATGTGCAGCCTGCTGCTTCCTGTTTCTGCCACGTTAGCAAACAGCTGGCTGCTTCCCGTCATGAGTTTTCATCTGTGTAGTGATTGCATGCTTGGGGGGGGGGGGGTTGTGTTTCATGGCAACGTGTTTAAGCGCAAACAGCTCTGATTTAGAAGCAAATCTTTTGAGGAAAAAGTTACATAAGACAATTTCAAATATACTATCTACATAAAAACTAGACTTGCAGAATTTACAAATTTGTATTATGAGCAGACAGTGTTACATGTCCTTTCTGCAAAATCCCATCTGCAGGCTAGAGATTTAGCTCACTGGCGAAAGTGCTTGTCTGGCAAGCACGAGGTTGCAAGTTCTATCCCTGGTATGGAAAAAAAAAAAAAAAAAGACAAAATCCCCTCTGCAGTTTCATAGGTCACCCACGCTCTGTACAAGAGTGTGTCTGCTTTTCCCACCACTGTTAAGTTCTCATCATAGTAACTGAAGCTTACAAACCACAGTGTATTTAAAATCTGCTTAGCAGCACATAAACATTAAATAAAAGGGAATGCAAATACCATTACCTTTTAAAAACTACACAGGGATAATGGGAACAACTCCATAGGAAAACAGATCAAGATACCCTCCTGTTAAAATGTCAGAAATATTTATCATCATGGAATTATGGATGACACCAATAAAATTACAGTTCAGCATTTTAATCCTGGGCACCCAATTTAGCATACTTTTATGCTTATGGAAAATCCTTTCTATTCTTCCATCCTCCCAAAAATTTTCTTGTTTTGTTTATTTGTTTTGTTTATTGTTTTATATGGGTGTCACATGGTTGTCCAGGCTGGATTTGAACTCCTAGGCTCAGGTGATCCTCCTGCCTCAGCTCCTGAGGAGCTGGGATTACAGATGCCTGCCACAGAGCCCAGCCTCAAATTGTTTCCAACTTTTACACCATCTGCTTGGTTGCTAGCTTTCTCAGTAGGCTACTACCCCAAAATGAACAAGCATGACTTTTATTGTATATGAAAACAAAAAATGCTATTTGTTTTGGGCATGGGATTGAATTATGCAATTGCTCTGTCCCAGCTGACCCTGCATCCTTCCTCAGAGCTGCCCAGGGGCCCAGGCCGTGGCTCACTGTAGGACTGGGGAAGGGGTCATACAATACCTGCCAGTGCTGTGTAGTGCCCCAGGCTGTACACTGCCCCAGAGTGGGGGGAGCTCATGAGTGCTTTGACCCTGTCAGCAGTTTGCTTCCCAGGAGAAAGGTGAAGATCATGGATTACTGGGTCTGAATCACACTTCAGGTTACAAAGATATCAGTGACATGGATAAAACTAAACTCTGTATTCAAAATGCCAGAGTCTTTACTGCTACTTTTGAAATATCAGTATTCATTTATAATGAAAAATATCACTTTGGTTAGTGTCCGTGAAATGCTGAAATGACAAAATTTCTTTTTTTTTTTAATCTTTACTTTAGGTGGTACCTTGAGAAGTTTGAAGATTATCCAAAGTCTCGAAAAGTAATAATTCCATTTTTGTATTAAGTGTGCCATCAAGCAGATGATCTTCATGTGCAAGGCTCACTGCTCTTTCTCTGGGAGACTGTATAAATGAGCCAGATCGCTGGAATTTTCCTGTTTCTTGATTGTTTTCAAGATACACTCAGTGGATTTTTTTTTTTTTTGCCTTAGTAAAATTTGTAAGCTACCCAGTGATAAACCCACCAAACTGAAATACAGGTTGAAGGATTATGCCACATAAGTGGTCAGGAATTTCAAACCTTGGGAATTTAGTACTGGTAATTTCTTTTATTTCTAGTTTGCCTGTTTTGCCTGTGGATAGCAAATTATGTACAAGCACAGAATTTGTAAGCTTTTTGTGCTTGCTTGTGTGTGTGTGGTACCAGGGATTAAATCCAGGCCCTTTGCACTGAGCTACACCCTGGCCTCTTTGATTTCTTATTCTGAGACCAGATTTTGCTAAGTTGCCAGAGGCAGTAGGCACTGATTTCAGCCAGCTCTCAGAAGAAGTGACCAGGGGAGGGTATGTGCTCTAAAAAGAGCAAGCTGCCCCGTCTCCCTGCGAGGGACCCTCAGATGGTTGCCAAAGGTGCAGCTCCTCTGTCTTCCAGCCTGGTTCTGGGCTCGCTACCTCTAAATATGCTCTGTGGTTGTATTTTTTCCTTCCTTTGCATAGAACTAGAATTTTCTGAAACTCAGTTTTCTTAAACTCTTTACAGAGCAAAATGGTGAAACAGTATTGTAGAGACCAGCCTTCAAGGTTTCACAGTGGAGGCTGGACAGAAAAGTTAAAAATCAACAGTCTGATGCTTCATTAAGACAAGATGTGTTTGCTCAGCCCATCACATTTTACCCCGTTAGACTCAGCCTTGACCACATCAGCCGCAACTGAGAGATAGTCCGCCCTGACTCAGTCTGACTGCATCCATCATCTGGACAGTCTGTACCATCTCACCTTCAAGGACTCTGTCTTCAGTGACTGTCTAACCGAGATAAAGTGGTCAAGGCCAGTCCAGCTGCCTCCTTATTTTCTCCCCCTTTTTGATAAATAACCCCTCTGACTAACCTGCCTGGAACAAACATGCGTGACAACATACGACCTGATTCATATAACCAGTTATATGACAGCCTGCTCTCAGCTCTTGTACTTCCTGATTTTAACGTGTATGTCTCTGTTTCACTCTCAGTCAGTGCTAGTTTTTTGGACTTGGTCCCACCACCCTACTAGCATAATAAACAATTGCCTTACACCCCCTCAGTGCAGAGGGTCCTCCCTCTGGTTTGCTACTGGTTTTTCTGCAATGTTTCTTGGTTTAGAAGACTGGGAAGACATTGCTGACAGATTTAGGTCACTGATGTGGGCCTGCTGGCCGCTGCTGGAACCCTCTCCTTGATCTGCAGATGAGAAGGTATGCCCTTCAAATTTAAGCTGGGCAGTCGAGGAGGAAGCCCCAGTGTGACAGCAGAGACCTCTTCAGACCCCAGGTGGAGTTGAAACAAGAACAGATTGGGTCCTCGCATAAGTTAGGTCTCCCTGGGTCTTTTTCCTAGAGAGCCTGTCACCTGCTTACTGCCCTCCCCTCTGTCAATGGCAGAGGACCTGATCACTCCTTGGCAGCCTCGTCTGTCACTTCTTCCTGTTCCAGGTTCAGTGGCGTAAGCTACTGTTGTTGTTTGTTAGATTTCCTCCCTGAATCAGGGGCTGACATGTTAACCTCTGTGTTCCTATGCACAAGAGTGTGTGTGTGTGTGTATGCACAAAATAAAATGCGTGAGTCCAAGGTCCCCTGGACTCAACGGGGGACTGGAAAAAGTAGTCTAATTAGTCTTGAAGAGAAAACAAAATCTTTCAATGAAACCCTACCCAGCATGTCTGTCAAGACCAAGCAGACATATGAGGCAGACTGGATAACAGAGCAGTTCTTTGTATGTGGACTCCTGTCTTTGCTGTCTTTGTAACGGATGACCTTGTAATGTAACTTCAGATACAACAGGATACTTCTTCCTTTGTTTTATTAATAATAATATAATAACTGGAAATAATAATATAGCTTGAAAAATGTAAACTCGCTTAGCACCCCACAGTGTCACCTGACCCTCCAACCATATGCACCTCTTTAAAACCCTTGAAGCACCACCAACCAGGTAGAGTCCTGACTTAGGAGACAACACCTGAGGAGCCAGCTGGCCCATGGCTGAGCTGTAATGAAGACTCAAGGTCAAGAGACAGGCCCAGCTGTGCGTGCTAAGATTGATGGGATGAAACGGGTTGTCTTTAAATTTCAAAAGGGGCAAGACAGCCCAAGCTCTCCTCCCAGCTTTGGGAGCCCCAATGCCAGCATATATTTTCCTTTTAATAAACTTTCCTCAACATATGTAAGATTTCTAGTCTTGTCATTACCTCTCTTTCTCTCTTTAGCAGGCTGAGACTTTCATCATACAGAATCTTCTCATTCCAAAAGTATATCTCTTACATTTATAGTTTTCTTAATATTTTTCGTCCTCCACTTACTACAACCTACACTGACTGCAGCTGTTTGAATTTGGAAGTTTCCCTTTTCTTCCTCAGATAGTAAACTTGATTGATGACAGATCTCTGAGTAACCTTGAATCACTTTTTATTTTATAACAACACAATAAAGAGCAAGCTAATCCTGAAAATTCAAAACTTTGAATGTACAAGAAATGCTTCAAGCACATCAACTCAAACTGAAAAAAAGCATATTTATCAATTAGTTAAACTTTGTAATTTTATTTTTCCTATAAAACTTCCTTAAGTTTGACAGAACTTTGGAAATTTACCCCGGGCTGGAGTTGTTCCTGTGTTCAGATTCCTGCAGGTGGTACCATGCTGGTGACATCAAATAAGGGCTGGCATTTAAATATGTTACAAAAATAATGTCATCAAAAAAATAATATCGTGATTGGCATGCTGAAATATATGTGGCTTTTGATCTCATTTTTTCTTTGTAAAACTATATAACTTCTGTCTGTTAAACATTCAGCAGGAATTCAACTACTAGGACAACCGTCACTGATAAGAAATAATAGACCTCTGCTATACTTTGTATTTCAAATGCTTGATGGTAGGTAAAATTATAAAAGTTAAACCCATTACAATAGTAATGTCACTCATACTCTATTCTGGGTGTTCAACAACTGAGTATCCAGTTGTTGTAAGTTTCCATGGACCTGCCTTCCACAAGGTTTGAAGAATTCCCCCCTACTTTTCAGGGAAGCCCTGGCTGCTGATCTGGCCAGATTCCTCCACGAAAGTCCAAGTTCATGCTCCTGCAGTATGTTGATACCTTCATTGGAGGCCCCACAGAAAAGGACCCTTGGAGGGGAACTCAAGCCCTCCATCACTTGTGTGATACCAGGTACAAAATAGCTTTTCAAAACAAAACAAAACAAAAAAAAAAAAAAACATTTGAAGGCAAAAGTCAGATATCTTGGGTTTGACTTAGGAAAGGAGCTCTGACACCTCGGCCTAGAAAAAAAGGAAAGACACCTACTCCATCCTGCAGCTTGACTGTGAAAGGCAACTTAGTTTTTTGGGGCAACTGGTTCCTGCTGAATCTGGATACCTGAACATGCTGAAAAGGCATATTTGTCTGTCTTCTGGATACTCAACAACTGGTGTTTAGAGACAAAAAATTAGAGATGTAGATGGACTAAGAGGATAGCCCATATTTTGGCCCTAGTCCTACAAGGTCAGTGAGGACCCAGGACATAAGAGAACCTCTGCTGTGACATCCTGTTCTCATTGAGTTCTTAGGCTTCTGATCAAGAAGATCACAAGTGATTGTCAGTGTGTGCTGTGCTTAAGGAAGTCACCAGGAGAAAAGATCTTCCAAGCTTTCATAGAAAGCACCTTGGTAAAACAATGTCTGTGGCTCATCCAAACGCTGACACTGACGGGCAACTAAGAGGTGCTATGCATGGTTCCCAGGTGTTCCTGAGGAGACTTAACTGACCTTAATAGATAGCAAAAAACTGATTGTAATTGAAACAGGTCTCATCTTGGTCTTGAACATTCTACAGAAAACATACAAATACTTGAGGTGTTTAAAACAATGCTGTAGTAAATATTAGTTATAAAAAGAAATTCAAATCACTAATACCTTCTGAAAATTGCCAGCTACACTGATAGCTATCTGCTGCTATGGGTTAATGAACTATACAGGGTTTCAGTTGCAGAATGCAGGGACTTAAAATCCTTGGACTGGGTCAGGGATTTAGCTCAGAGGCATAAGTGTCTGCTTTGCAAGTGCAAGGTCATGAGTTTGATCCCTGGTACCAAAAAAAATTTTTTTTCTTCTAAAATCCTTGGACTTCACTTAACTGAAAAAGGGTTTAAAAATGAAAAGGTCTACAGAGTTATGCCAATGCAGCTCCTCCAGCTTCAACTGACTACCTATCTTGTGCTACAACAAAACAAAAAGAGGATTATGTTGGGAACCATTGAAGCTGGAAATGTATCAAATGTACGGGCTGGGGCATGACAGTCCCAAGAACAAAGAGCTCCCAGGGCAAGCCACATGAAGAAGCTGCTTCAGCCCAGAAAAACACCAACCCTAGACATCCAAGTAGTGGGTTGCTAGGCAAAGAGGTACCATGTGACATTGTGTTGCTAAACATATAAATAACACCCCTGCAGTGAGGAGGCAGTTCCTTTTCACCCATCCAGAGAGGACTTGACCTAATCTCAGCTTTCTATGTCTTGTCTTTATTTCTTAACCTTCTCACTGCCCTTCACAGTCCTCACCCTGGGACCCTCAAGAGCCACGCAGGTCATGGAAACACAGCATCTGGGCCTTAGTAGAAGATTGAGTGATCAGTCGGAAGGAGTTGACCTATAATTGAGTTAACATAACATATAACTGTGACATCACCCACAGAAGAAAGACTGCCATGACCCAGCTTCTGGGTTGCCATTATTATATCCTAAAACTGGCATCAATTTATGCAGCCTGCAGCCAAAGGTGTCGAATTTATGCAAGGACTGAGGCCTCAACAAGCCATATTGTTTAGGCTAAAGTTGGGGCAAGAGGATCCCCTGTCCCTCAATATTAAAAGTTCCCTATTTATTTTGACTACCCCAACCACACACACAAATAGCAGAGAATCAGCCCTGGATTCACCACTCCAAGATCAAGGGGCCTCACCCTGATGATTGTTGAAAAACCTACCCTGAGACAAGTCCCCTGAGAACTACCTTACAGAGACAGCATAGTCAAAGCCTTGCTCTCACCACTCTGGAAGATGGCAAGTTCACACCTGGCTGAAGTTTGTTTATTTTAATATTTTTTAAGAGAGAATAAAACCCAGCAAAACAAAACAGAACAAAGCCATTCAAAACAAAGCAGTGAAGGTGGTTCAGAACTTCAAAACAGGACTATAAGAGATCAACAATGGCTGCCGTGGCATTTTCTTGCTAAGTTGTCCATACCCCCAGCCATAACAAAACCAGACAAAACAGAACAGAAAAACCAATCAAAACATAACATTAAATAAAACAATAAATAGAGAAAAAAACAAAGCAGTGTTAACAATACTGCATATTGTTATCTTCAAAATAGTTGCTCAGATTACCAGACACAGGAATAAAACAAAACAGTAAAATGGAACAAAACATTGGATATCAAAAATAAAATGAGGAAATCCTCCACAGTTGACACAATGCACTCTGCCATCCTCCAGGTAGATGCCCAGACCACCAGCCCCAGGCCAGCAGAGTCAACCAAACAATACAAGCATGGGGTTTTCCTTTCAACTCATTTGCATCTCACCCTGAATCCTCTAAGTCAGCAGGGGTGGTGGTGCTTTTCCGGTTTTTCAGGCTATGTATTGGCTGGCTCATGGGAAGTTGTGGTTTCTTTTTTGACTGAGTCTCTTCCCAATCTGCATGGTGGATCTGCTTCACAGGAAGGCATGGTTTCTTTTCTCATGGCTGAAGATTAAGTGGACACTGTATACCAGAGTACCTGTCTATACTGACTCATGTTCTGTTACCCATTTTGGCAATTAGTTCCCCTTCTTTTATTTATTTTGGTGCTTGCCACAAGACACTGGGCAGTATCTCCTAGAGGACTGGAAAACCCCCCACAAAATCACCCTCACTCTCTTCTATATTGATGTAACTATTGGAAGGAACCTTGATCTGTGTTTTCCAAGTTTTAATTTCAATGTACTGTCACTCTGCCTGTTTCCTAGTTCCTTGTCCTATTTCAGTGTTCACTTTCATTCTCTAGATCACAACTCTGACAGGCAGGAAACCCCATGAGAAGGCTGTTGTCTTAGTTACTTTTTACTCGTTGCTGGCTCCACCCCTATGTGGGTGGAGCACTGACACCATCAATCCAAGCTCTAGACAATGAACCATCACAAATGCACAATGCAAACTGATGAGGATGGGGGCCACAGACATAAACCATGACATTACACCCCTGGCCCCCAGGACTCATGTACATCCTTTATACAAAAGACATGTAGTCCACCTCCAAGAGGTGCCAAAGTTCTAACAGTTTCAGCATTGCTGAATAGTCCAAGTCCCAAGTCTCCTCCAAGATCTATGGCAAACTCTTAACTGTAACCCCCTGTACAAATGAAACAAGGTTAAACATTTCTGAAATGCAAAGGCAGAAGACAGACATTACCATTCCAAAAGTTACAAATGGGAATAGAAAGCATTGGAAACAAAGCAAGTCCAACATCCAGCAGGGCAAACATTAAGTCCTAGAGTTCCATGCTCAGTATCTGAAGCAAACTGGTTGCAAGCTCCAAAAGGCTTGGGTGATTCCAACCCCATGGCACTTCCAGGGATTTCAGCTCCCACAGCTTTTCTCTTAAATCCTCTCTGCTCGCTTTTTGCAGCTTTCCTTGGATCATCCACGTTCCTGGCTTTTCCAAACTTCTGGGGTCTCCACTGCACCTTTGGCTTCACCCTTACATCTTCACAAATTGCCCTCTCAGGGGGACACTGCTCGGCCTCCCAGGCCCTTTGCAATTGAGGTGAAAGCTGTCTTACCCTCAGAATTTGTGCATTTTCCTTGCACCTAAAATCAGCACCTTGTGGATGCCGCCAAGGTCTGCTGCCAGCTGAAGCACTAGACAAGCTTTTCTCTCTCTTGGCTGTAGGGGTCAGTTTCCTGGATTGCAGGGCTCTGTTTACCTGATTGTGAGGAAAAACTTCTCTATGTTGCCGCCATTCTGGAACCTCATGTGGCCTCTGTCATCATTTTGGAACCCTGTGCTCTGCAGCTTTCTCCTCTGAGGCAGGAGAGCAAATTCTTTTACTCTGAGCAAATTCTTTTACCTTTGCAGCAAGGCTGCAGAGGATGGGGGCTGGCTTCCTGGGATGCCCCCTGCTATC